AAAAAGTTTAAGTTAGTAACAGTGGCGGCCTCAAAGGAGGGTCGCCACACTTTTAGTACCTCAAGGCAGTTTTTTAGGACGGAAAAAACAAAATTACCCTTATTATAAAAAAACTTTTTAAAAAATTTTAGACTTGCCAAAGCTCATTGGTATCTATTATACTATTAGGATCAAAGAATACTAGCATGCGTAGTTCATCTAGTTTATTAGCCACTCGAGGTCCTAACCCGCACTAATTATCCTGCCAATATATTTTATTTATAAAGAAAATTAAATTAAATTACGAAAAGTAGCAAATTAAGATAAGCAAAAGAAAACATTTAACGCATGGGGCTAACATCATAAACTGAATCACAAAATAAAATGAAAATTTGTTTTTGGATTGAAAAGTGGAGATGTACTCTCCTAGCCGAAAAGGGTGCTTAAAAGATGCCTCATGAAAAACCTTAGCTGGTTAAAAACCGAGTAGGAAAAACAGCTAAGGAAAAAAGAGTGCATGGTCTGCCACCCGAAATTCCGGACAATCTTGAACAACCACACAAGCGCCTTGATCACACCAAAAAAAAAAAAAAAAAAAAAGCGCCTTTCTCATCAAGTCTGGAGAAGGCCTACATAAAGAACAACTGTGACAAAATAAACTAATAAAATGTATATTTTGATATCTTATAATTAAATCAGAATGATCTTTTGCATCCAACAAATGCAACATGAAAGAAATATGAGTGCCCAACGTCCATTACTGCAACGGTCCATAGTAAGAACATCTAATAACGTTCTTCAGAGTTAGTTTTTTTGGCCTGCGACAGTAAAAAATAATAAATTAGTGGAAAAAAATCCACATAAACTCCAAATCAGTGGATCCAAACATTAGTAAGGAAATATTATCACCGAATCTAGTCACTTGTATGGAATGTGCAAATAGCGTTGAAAATACTACAGTTCTAACAATTAACATGATTGCATTGGTGACAAGAGAACTTCAAGTAGATGTTGTTAAAAAAAAAAATGCAAGGAAAATTGCACCTTCTCACTTTGACATTGATTTTTTTTTTTATTTAATAAAGTTACTAATAAAACGAAACACGAGTGCCTTCATTATTGTATTTCTGCTGAAATGAAAGTGACAAATTTATGATTCGTTATATGGCCTAGTGCTTAAATTGGTGGCATCAGTGTACAGGTGAAAAGTTTACAATAATGCCGAATAAATCACACTGAAATTTATAGTTTTAAAACTCTGTGACATGTAAAACACAATTTATTCTCGAACTAAAATGTTCAATGAATTATCTTATACGTTCCCTTATCAGGAATAGATAAATACTAATATTTTGCTCCTATTGAATGGCGAAACTTTATTTATTTAAAGAAGTAATGAAGATTGGTTAGGTTTACCCCTGAATGGATAGCCAAATTATGTGAATTGCAGAGTTTCTTGTGGTATTTATTGAAATAACAGGTATTATTTTATTTCTTTCTTTTAGGTTTCCATGTGGTACAAAAAGGGAGAGAGAAAGGAAAAAACCTGGTCGATGGCTATCATCATGTTACTGATTTGTTGTCAAAGTAGGATGCAGAAAAGGAGGGCGCCAGCGCCAATTAACTCCTGCAAATACAACTCAAAGATGTAAATTGAAACTTACAAGAAATAAAAGAGAGAGACATGGTTTTGTATTGATCAACAAACTGAAAGTGCTATAAGGTGTGTATTGTACCTGTCGACGAAGTAGAAGAATTTTGGGAAGGGTCGTCATCCACTTTGTTGGACTGCAGACGCAAACGCAACATTGGAATGGGTATACAATTATACCCCTCCTCCTCAGCTGCTCTACCAAATCTTCTCCTTAGACGTGGAAAATTGTAAAGATTCTCCTCATCTCGTGAACTGATTTCAGCCCTCAATCCTTTCGGGAATGATGTGAGCTCAAGGCATTCCAAAACCTCAATACACGAGAGACTTTGGAAATTGCACATCCATTCTGGGAGACTGGAAAAATTGTCACAGAAGCAAATGTCGAGGAACTATAGTGTTGTAACATGCTGAAGCCCATCGGGAAGATCCACTAGTTGCGGTAGCTCTCGAAGGCTCAAATGAGTAAGTCTTCTAAGGCTTTGCCATACACTGTCATCACACAGATCAACCATTTCACAGCTTCCAATGTGTAGTTCTATAAGCGACACAAAGTATTGAACACCTGGAGATAAAGACTTTAGTCTCGGGAATTCCTCAATCTTCAAGTACCACATAGAAGTGAGATTCCGTAGGTAGTCCGGAAAAAACTCTAGATCATCATTCTTTGAAAGAATGACGCGCTGCACTTTGGAGAGTGAGGCACAGAAAGTACTTGTTGATGATGAAGCAGACATTTCATCCATTTGCGGATTAATTTGTTTTTGCTTAATTGTTTTTAACAATAGTTTCCAGCTTGTATTCCTCAGCTGCAGCTCCCAGTCAAGAAATGGGAAAAGTGGCATGCATGTCAACCGTGGACAATGGCAAATATATAATGATCCAAGCTGAGGAAAACAAGGCAACATGAAGAGATCAGAATCATCTTCATTGCCCTTGTCCATTTCTCTCCACCATCCCTTTAAATTTGGCAAATTTGTCAGTCTCAGCTCTTTTAGCGATGGCATAATCATTGATTGTCTTGAACGCTCGCAACTACTACCCGTGACATACTCAAGAGCGGGCATCATTTCAAGCTTCAACAAAACTAATTTTGTGAATGGAAACCAACTCGAAAGACAAACACCCCCATAACCATTTAAGGTGAAATCTTTAAGACTTGGGATGTATTGAGTGCCTCTCAATGTCCTTTCATGACCAATAGCATCCATAGCAACATCATGACCCCAAAATAAGCTTAAGGATTGCAGATAACGTTTTTCTCCAAAATTTGCAACTTCAATGTCCATGCCATGCTTCAAATTTCTAATCTCCAACCCACCTCTCAAGCTATTTAGATTCCTTAAATCTTCTACCTTGGCGCTTTGACTGTCCTCACTCAATACCAATCGGGACAAGGTTTGAAGGTTACTAAGTTGGCCTAGTCCCGATGGCAAATGAGTCAAACAATGACAATAATCTAGCCTGAGATTCCTGAGGTTGACCAGTTGTGAAACCCCTCTTGGCAATTCTTCAAGACTGAAACATGAGGAAAGATTCAGTGACTGCAGATTCAGAAGCTTGCTAATAGAATCCGGCAACGTCTTCAGCTCCACGTTTCGAGAAAGGTCGAGAGTTCTCAAGTGCTTCAACTTGGCAATTGATTCTGGAACTATTTCAATCCCCGAGTTATGTAGATCCAAACTACGCAAGAACTTGAACTTCGAAAGCATTTCCTTATAAAAGGATGGTTCAAATCTCCTGTCGACGATTGCAAAATTTGATTCAGTAGGGATGATAATTGACTGAATCATTTTTGCTTGAACCAACGAAGATCGGATCTGCGACGTGAAACTCGGCCGGAGATTATTGAGTTGCAATGATACGTAACGAGTACTTCTTTCATCAATTGTAGCCTCATCGTTGCTTAGTATAGCATACCTCTTTCCGCCAACCCAAACTGCAAGGTCATGGACAAGGTCATGCATTTTGTATTGGCCATGATAACCCTGATCATATTCAAGAAATGATCTCGACACTAGACCTTCAAAACATCGAAGAGCTGCCTCCTCTATAGGTTCATGACTTGAATTTGATGTCGAGGTTATAAATCCTTGCGCCAACCAGTGATCTATTGACATAATCTTATCTATTTCATAGCCCTTGGGGTATAAGCTTAAAAAAGCAAAACAACGTTTCGTAGCTGACGGAAGAAATTCGTAACTCAACCTGAGAGTTTGTAAAATATGACCATGTCCTTGAGAATCCTCAGATATGCTTGAAAGTTTATCTTTGAAGGAGAGCCAATGATCTATTTCGGGATTGGCCCGCAATAGACTTGCCACTGACTTTATTGCAAGAGGAATTCCATGACATTTTTTGACAATCTCCCGTCCAATGCTAACTTTGTGATTGTCAATTAGATCCTCCACTTGCACAAAAGCAATTCTCTTAAACAGATCCCAAGAGTTATCCCCATCTAAACTATGTAAGCAATATGGTTCCATTCTGCTTGTGATTTTTGAAACGTCTTCATTGCGAGTAGTTAGTAGTATCTTATTCCCTCCTTTTCCATTATTCCTTAACAAAGTCTCCAGCTCTCCCCATTTCATAGGATCTTCATTCCATACATCGTCCAACACAAGGAGGTATCTTTTTCCATTTAATATCTCCTCCCGAAGTTTCCTTTGCAACTGCTGCATCTCATGAAGTCCTTGTGCCAAAGTCTGGTCCTCGGATTTAATGATCTTTTCAACAATCGATCTCACATTAAAATCTTCGGAGACATATACCCATATTCGCAATTCGAAATGTTTGATAACTCTTGGATCGTTGTAAACTTGTTTGGCAAGGGTGGTCTTTCCTAGGCCCCCAATACCAACAATAGGAATAACTGAAAGATCCTCATGACTTGTTTCGCTTTCTGCACCCAAAGAAAGTAGCTCTAGGATCTCCTTTTTCTCCTTCTCCCTCCCGGTGACTTCTTCTTCATTTACATAAGAGTGAGTCTCTCTCTCTGATCTATTGGGAACTGTGCTCTCCTCAGAATCATTGCTGTGTTGAAGATCAAAGTGGTTTTTATCCTCACCAATTTTAGCTAGCCTTCTCCTAATAGCTTTAATTCTATGCGCAACCTTATGCCGGAAAACAAGACCCTTGGGGAGTGAGAGGAGATTGCACACCTATAAGAATTAGAGAGAGATTCGAAATTTTTAAATAACTTATAGCCAACCTTTATTGGTGACAATGACTACAATATATGCACGTTATAACTCTACATAAAATGAACGAATGAAAAAAATATTATACAAATTAATATCAATAAATCAAGAAAGAGTAAACATACTATCAATCGCAATCTCTTAAATTACTTAAAACTAAACTAATGGCCCGTTTGGTTCATGGTTCAAGCCTTCTGGTTTGAACCAAACTTCAAATTTTTGTGAAGAAAAGAACAGTGTAGCAGACTAAACACCGTTGCCAAATATATCTGAAGTGGTTTCCTTAACATAATGCCTCTCCAAGATCGTGTTTTTCACGAACCAGTTGATCTCCAAAACGGCTCAGTCAAGGCATTGGCAAGTTGATTGGTGGGAGAATCTCAGGACACGCAAAGGGCACTCCTTTGCACTTAATAATGAACAAAGTAAACATTAATTGTGATCTGCTCACAGCAATCTGTTACATTGTTCAAGGAATCACTGTTTGGTAGAATGATACAATTTAAGGGAAAAGGTCCATGGAAAATATTACTAGATCCAAAGAAAGAAGTGTCTAAAATTTGGCTACTTAAAGATATTCATCAGAGAATATATATAATTTCCCTATATATATATATATATATATATATATATATATAGGATTACTATAATTTGCACTTTACTAATCTTGAGGACCGTGATATATAAGGTTTGGTCAGCTGGCTCTTTGATTGTAGGTCCAGGAATTCTTCCTCTGCTATGATGGGCTCAAGATTTAATGCCATACAAAGATCAACGTCAAACCAATGCACAAGTCTGGGTTCGAACTTTAAATGTGGAATTGAAATACTGGCATCGAACAATTTTACTTGAAGATCAAGTAAAATTGTTACAGTAACGTTAACTATTGAAGATCAAGTATAAATAGGGTTGCAATTGAAGGAGATTGCGGCCCTTTTGATCGGGTCCTAAACTCATGTCCCCGGGATTGCTTCTATAGTCGAATGGGCTACGAGACATAAAGTGCACCATTAGATCTATTTTTTTTATCAAAAAGAATATATTTAATGATGACAGCAAATAAGGGGGCCATTTGGTGCACATGATTAGAGTACGTTATTGGATATGACAATCTTAGGTGTTTGCATTGGAGTGTATAGGAAAGGATCCAGTTAAATTAATTGAGATTAATTAATAGAAATTCATTAGTTATGGTTAATTAATATGAGATTAGTGAAAGATTCTCAGTTATAATTACCACGTAAAGGATCTTTCTCTTTTAAAAATGATTATTTTGAAATTTACACTGTTGTCCCTCGAACAGACTTAAGTGTTGGTAACTAATTTTTTAGAATTTGAATAATTGATTATTCCATACTCTATTCAAATTGAATTTTGAAATATAATTATCAAATTTACACAGAAAGTCCAAGTCCATTTTTTTTTCTTTTTTCTCCTTTTTCTCTCTTTTTCTCTCTCTTCCACGCTCACTCTCTCTTTACCTCTCTCTCCACGCCGGGCAAACACCCTGATAAGGACTTTGGTGTTCGTTTTTGACACCTCCTTGCTCGTTGTAAAGATCTCGATGAGCTAAGTACGTTGACATGTCGCATGACCTCCAACTCCGCCGGAATCAACCGCAATCACCGACCGAAGTTCCGAACACAACCAAAGCTTCCAATCGCAATATCTCCTCCATCCGACATTCAATCAAGGTGATTCCAGTTCCTATGGATTCAGAACGAAGAGACGAAGAAAACTCATCCTTTTTCACAGCTCAATTCTCGCCAGAACACCACAGCCTATGGTGGCCGGAGTTTCCGCCACCACCGCCGCCGTTCAGCTCCATCCCTGCCGCCATTTTTGACACCGCCAGTGTCAATCGACTCAGAGAAGAACGCTGACCAAAACCTCTATGTCAATTTCACGGTCCCGCCTCCTTTTGTCAGAGAACAGAGTCCCCGCCGCTATCCAAGGAGGTAAGGTGTGGTTCTGACGATCTAACCGTTGGATCATCGTGATTTTGTGTCAAAACACTTAGAAGGAAGTGGGTAACAAAAGCCCTCAATCAATTTTGAAGCCACATATCAGAAGAATTAATATCAAAGTCGCCAGATTTTACCGACGTTTTTAGGTTTGATCGGAGTAGATAGAGGCCGAATTGAGTGAAATTGACTAAACCATTGAATTCAAAAGGGTCGATTTAGCAGGGGTAGGACCAAGTCGGCCGCGAAAATATGCTCCGACAACCTGAGCAGCTGCTGTCGTCGCCGCTAGTGGCTGGGGTTCGGCGGGTTCCGGCGAGTCTCAGTTCTTGAGGTTCCCGACCCAATCGAAGATCTGAACCAGATCCTGACTTGTTTCGATGTGCTAAACGTAATGGTGACCTCCGTTTGCGTCAATTCCACTCCGTTGAAAAGTCTACCGTTACTGTGCACGTAGATTGAGGTGAATCGAATGGATTCGTTGAGGTTCAGAGCGAGCCGTAGAGCTTCAAGAATAGATGGTTAGACAGCGTGAAGTTATCCATAGACTAAATTGTCAAGAGGTAGGATATTCTTATCCATATCCTTGATAGCCTTGTTTTAAATGATTTCGGCCTACGTAAACGTTTTGAAAATGATTTTGAGAAAATAGCATGACTTATGCTATTAAACCATCATTGTGTTAAATGAGGTTTTGAGAAATATAATTTATAAAGAAATGTAGTTTAAGGAAATAGCATGAATAATGCTATTGAATTCCTAATCAACTGAATTAAGGTTTTAACAGATATTTTCTTAAAATGAGATATTTTAAGAAATGATAAAACGCATGATGGCCACAGAGATCGGGATATGAGAATCATATCCTTAGGGGAGGGTCCTGAAATCCGTACGGGCCACATGTTTCACAGTGGTGATATTATGGTTTTGCATAGTTTCATTATTCAGATAATTTACTACTAATACGAGAGTATTTCCTTTCTTTAAAGGATGATCGGTTCCGGATGATATGTTCGGACCGTGATCACTTTTATTTATAAAGTTTTATAAAAGTATATTCTACTAGACATTCCGCTCACTTTTACCATTGTGTTTTCAATGTTTTAAACTCCCACTAGAGTTAGTGGTTTAGATTTACAACATTGGAGGTGGATGCCGATGAATTGAAGGCATGAGATTCGAAGTGGCTAGTTTATTCTAAATTTACAGTTTTTAATTCTGAGTTGTATTGTATCTCTGTATATAAACTGTATTTGGTTGACATTGTCCTAGAGTTGTATAATTTTAAACTTTATGTATTGTTTTAAATATTGTTTATAAAAGAAAGACTCCGGAGTAATATATTTTAATATCTATTTTGGTATTTGTACATTGTATTTTATATTCACGAATTTTTCTTAATTAATTCAATTTAATTAAATTAAATTTTAAATTAAACCTCAATAATCATGGCCTTATTGTTGGGGTCGTGACAGCATAGGAAAGGATAGATTGAATTTTAGTTTAATCCAATCTCACATTTGATGTTGTCATTAGAATGGGGCCTTTTTCACAAAATTTTTAAAATGTTGAAGTCAAATTGAAGTTTCCAAAATTTTAGAGGAAAGAAATTTTAAATCACATCAAAATTGCATTTGAACACATGAATTTATTAAAAAATAACAGTTTGGTCCCAAATTTTGTAAATATTCACAAATAGACCCCTAAAATATGTCACAATGTGCTCCAAATTCCAATTAAAGTGTGTTATGTTCAACCCAATGCTTTAGTAGGAGATAAATGAATTCCCTGTGTAAGATTTTTTCCAATTAAATCCTTTGAAAATTTTCACCATACACGATATTAAACTTTATGGGATTTCAAATTTAGAACTAGAGACCCCAAATAATATAAAAAACAAAACAGTGCGAAGATGACGACCAATGTTGCTTTTTGAATATTTTGTGTGTTTTGGCACTAAGGAGAAATTTCTGTGTTGTTGAATTCTTACATTTAATTTTGTTAGATTCATATTTTTAGTGGAGAAGATGACGACATGTGTTGTTGTTCTTTAGAGATTTTTGTTTTTTATGTTTTTTATTTTTTAGATTTTATTTGACTTTTGAGTTTTTTGAGTTTTTTTTCTAATTTTATAATTTTTAAGATAATATTTTTTAAAAAAGTTTAGTGATTAAATTAGTATAGAGAAGATAGTTTAAGGACATTTTATGAGACAAAATTAACGGTTTCTATTTAAAATTTAACAGATGAACTATTTATGAGACACTTTTAGAGTTCAAAGACTGTTCATAAAAAAAATTAACTATAAAAACTAATTGTAGAATGAGAAAAAAGTTTAGGAACCATCTATGAATTTAACTCTTTTAACTAATTAACATAACTACGCAAACGTTACATAAGATAGATTGTGGCGGCAAACATAAGTGATAAAAAATTAATACCATGGACACATAAGGGGGCACGTTGGGGGTAAAATCAACAATGTGATCAGAATGACGCTTTGAAAAACCGTTGTGTTTGGAAGTGTGAGGTGATGTGTTGAAGTGAGAAATATGGTGATTAGCATGTATATGAAGCACGGATATTGCTTGGCGGATCGGTCTTTGTAGGATTTGAGATAAGATTGCATGTTATGTATTTTGATTGTTATTGTGCATATGAACTGTCCTATATGATATGAGAATAATTAAAATAAAAATAAAAATAAAAAAGAAGAAGAAATATTCAATTAATTGTAATCTCCTAAATTACCAAGATTAAATTAAGTAATATCCTTATCATAATACCTTCTTGCCGGGCGTAGTAGTTTTTCGCAGCGATTCATAGGACACATCGTCGAGCAAGTTGTCAACATCTTTAACAACATGTTCTAGCCTCTCCAGCCAACTTTCAACAACTCTATCTCCGCCCTGCTGCCGCTTCTCCGCATTGCGAAGCACACCCTTGATAGTCGAAAGGGTATCCCCAAGTTCATCAAGATCTTCTTTCACACCCCAGATTGATGCAATCTCTTTTACTGCCTCACTACCAATAGCCTCAACCACTGCTCCCGCAAGCTGGAAAAGAAATGAATCTGCCATAATTGGTAGCTCCTGCAATGCAAGTTGAAAGTTTCAAACTTAAATTATTAGAAAGGTGGTTTGATTTGTTGCAAATTGTGAAGAAAATATACAACCTTCCCTGCCCATTTATTACACCTTTCCTCTTATCCATTGTAATTACCTATTTGTCCATGTACTTGTTATTCTCTTTCTACTTTAAAACGTTAACTTGTTAATCCAAGTATAATTCCTTGCTATGTTTTTTGCTCTGAATAATTTCTTTGCTTAAATAATTAATATGATCTCTCACCTCAAGAATAGTCCTTTTCTTTTCCCTCACAACTTTAACTGATTGTGGTTGTTATCTTTGTCCTCGCTACCTTTATCGCCGGGTCCAATTGTAGCCTTTTTTTTTCTGTTAAAACTTAAAATACATCACTGGTTATTATTTATATGTAACAAGGTTATTGGAACTTTTGGACTAGAACTCATCTTTATACGTCTCTAAATGATATTTTTTTTTCGTGGATCAAAAATATATTTGAAAAATCGCTCTATTCTACACATGTATTCGTCTGCCTTTACTATTAAAAAAAAAAACATAAAAAAACATAAAAAAAAAAAACAACAACAACAACCTTTTTAGCTGAAATAGAGAGAAAAGAGGGACGATTGTCAGACGTACGTTTTATTCTGCTTATTTTTAAGGTTTTTCAAACTTTTTTTTTTCCTTTCTCTTAATTGTTTAGCAAAAAAATAGAGAATTTATTAAGAGTGCATGAGTCTAAGTATCTACTTTTTATTTTTAATAATTACTCTTTTATTAGTGTAAGTCTGTGACTAAAAAAATTATAAATAAAAAATAAATAGTAAAAATTATAACGCATATAATTTTAATGAGTATTTGTTAAAATTACTGCAGCAGCCTTCGATCTAGTGTTCACGCTTCGGTTCTACTCTACTAGACATCGGGGCCCAGAACCAAAAGGTTGGGAAGTAGTACGCCCGGTTCACCAAGTTCTACCACTGCAGGGCCCAATCATACTCAAAAGAAGAGTTTGATCCTGGCTCAGAAGGAACGCTAGCTATATGCTTAACCCATGCAAGTCGAATGTTGTTTTCGGGGAGCTGGGCAGAAGGAAAAGAGGCTCTAGCTAAAGGTAGCTTGTCTCGCCCTTCCGGTGGGTAAATGGTCACTCTATAACGAGAAGGTATCAATCTCCACGAGTGGATTAGATTAGTTGAGTGACTAGACTTAGTAGACTCTCTTTGATATCAATCACTTTGATAAAGAAAGTAGCAAAAATCATAAGAGAAGCAAGGTTCACAGAAGGTTGGGAAGTAGTACGCCCGGTTCAAATAAAGAGTTGGCAATTGAAGACGGGCCAATACTTATGGCTCATTATATTTCCTCTTTATTAATATTCCTGGTCATTTCCTAATCATGATCAATATTGCTGTTTTATTAAACAAAACCATTCTTGCCTGTTTTATAAGGATTATGTGTGATTTGTACGTAACTGCTTGAAAAAGGAATTACCAAATGATAATATGTATAGAAAGAAAATATGAGCTAAAAATATTATATACCTTCAAATGAAACAAGAAGGCGAAGAACTCCTTTCCTCATAATTATTGAAACTAACATTAGTAGAGAGGTGACAAAAACAACAAGAAAGATTAGTATAAAAAAATGTTAGAGAAAAATAAACTGACAAAATAAAGTAAAGAAAGAGAACATTAAGAAATTTTATTGCAAATAAAATGAAATGAGGAAAGTTTTTTGTGAAGCAAATAAAAGGTATCGAGAATCCCTTATGTTTCGTTCACTAATTTAAGTTTTAATTCTCAAAATAAAGTATCGAATAAATTAAATCTTTATGTTGATTCTGAAAATATTATTATTATAAATTATCAAAAATTGACAATATATCAGGTTGACAATATTACAGTAAAAGACAACTCGCAAAATAATTCAAATAACAAAACAGTGTATGATAGAATTACATAAGAAAAGTATGACTGATTTACATAAAAGTTGGCACACAATATTTTAAAAAATAAATGAAGAATAGATCTAATTTAATTCATTCGAATATTCAACATTACAGCGTGAGAAATCTAAACCTGAATTGGGTCACTCAACAAGGGTTGATCTCTAATCTCACTAAAAGAGCTCTAGCCTAACTTGCAAACCATTCTCACAAGTTTTAGAGAGAAAATATGAGAATGACAGCAAGACGACAAAAAACTGAATATAAAATTAATATATTTCAATTAATATAGATATAATATTACAATTAATAATATCATAATTATATGAATAATTGTAATACTGTTATTTTCTCATATAATATTGTATATTATAATTATATTACATTATATTATTAATTAATTATGTTATATTATCATAATATTAATATAATTATGTTATATGATATTAATAATATTCATTATATAATTAAATGTTAATATAATATTGTAATTCCAATATTATTATCTAATATATTTCATTATAAGATATCTAACATAATTATATAATATTACATATTATAGTTATATTATATATTGTTAATATATATAATTTACTATTACGTGATATGTTATAATGTTATATAGTTGTAATTATGTTATAATTATATACTATTATATATTATAATTATATTACATTATATTATTAATATAATTATGCATCATTAATATAATTAAAAATTAATAAAATATTATAATTACAACACTATTATCTAATATATTTTATGATACGCTATATATTATTATACATGATTATATAATATATTATATGTATAGTTTTAATATATTAAATTACATTTTATATATTATATTAATTATATTGATATATAAAATAATAGTATTATATATATAACATAAGGAATGATTTTGTCAAGATGAAAATACTAACATTCCATTTCATAGTATTCTTAAAATTACACCCAAATAAAAGAATCAATTTTTTTTTTCATTCTATTCTATATATTATTTTATATATTAAATTCATATTATACTTGTTAGAAATTAATTTAACACCAATCTCAAATAAGAGAAAATTGAATGCAAGGACAAACGATTTGTTGATGAGGTTTGGCAAAAATCTGCTTACGTCCTCGTAAACTCCCCAAAAAAATTCGATTTGCACTATATGAAATTAAAATCAAGTTCTTTATGGTCGTTTTTGTATAAGGTCCGTACAAGGGTCCAAGCCCAATGATTCCATCTCGTGACAAGATTGGGCATGATTCGTGGATTCATGCCAAGCTCGGGAAACTCACGTGGGCTGTGGTTTGGTGGGCCATAGGTAATCGAACTGGCTCATTTGTTTCTTAGTCTGATCCGATTTTAAGTCCCACTTGGGGGTTTTAAAATAATTTGGCTAAGGAATGAATGGGTGATGGAGAATCTAACCCCAAAATTCTTTGTTTGCCTTATAGGATTCTTAGAAACCCTTTTCTCAGCCTTTGGAGAATCGAAAGTCCATAATTAGTTGTGGAATCTTTCCCTCTGACGTCAAATGATAAGTTTTTCAACCCCAGAGCAGCTTCCTTCGGAGCTTGCATGGATACGTCTCCGTAGTAGTCGTTGCTCTGGAGGCGTCATTATGAACACTGCCATGGAGGCATCACCGTAAATGCCACCATAGAGATACTTTCCATGCTCCAAGAATCTCCTCCGCTACCAAAGATACTTCATATGCTCCAAGAGACTCCCCTGTGTCTAAAGATTCTTCCCGTGTAACAAAAAATTGCAAACTTATTGAAAGAACAAATTGGTTATAAATTGTTTAATCTCTTCCTTGTTTATAAATTGTATTATAAATAAATTGCTTTTAAAACTTATTAAATTGATCATGATTGCTTGTTATTTTTTTTTCCTGTCTTTTTGCTCATATCTTTTTTGGCTTTTGCCTTCTTTTTTATTTATGTCTCCTTTTCTTTGTTTTTTTTCTTTTTAAAAAAAAAACAATTTGTGTAACCGTTATTTTAAATAAATTTATGCGTGCTAAAAACTAGTGTATGTACTAAAATGTTAGGTTTTGTTTAATGGGAGGAAAAGGAATGACACCGAAAAGAATGGAGGTTTATTATGATATTTGGTTGCTTTTTAGAAAAGGATTAATTGTCATTCAAAAAAGAATGACCGTTTTATAAAATGGTTGAATCATCATTCTTTTTTCATATGAGAAGAATAATCATTCTAAACTGTTTTTCTCTTTTTTTCCATAATCACCCATGCATATTATAATTGTTAATATTAAATATTATAATTATATTAATAATTAAAATATAATAAATA